GTGTGTGGTGGCAGCACCACGTAAGCAATGTGGAAGTTAAACAGCGTGTCTTGGGACGTGGAAGCCACTCGCTCAAGGATGTCGTCTCACTGCATCAACTGCGGTGGTTGGGACACGTATTGCGCATGCCTGTCCAGCGTTACCCCCGTCGTGCGTTGTTTGCACTTGCTGGACAGGGCTGGAAGAGAGGGTCTGGTGGACAGCCTACAACATGGAGAAGCCGCATGAAAAAGTTGACGAAACAGTTGGCCTCGGCCGGTTGTTGTCGACTACCTGGTTGGGGTCCGAGAGGTGAGGATACTTGCTGGTTGAAAACCTTGGCTTATGGCTCAAGATCGATGTCAATGGCGGACGTGTGCATCAGTGTGTTGCGGTGTCCCTTCTTCCTCCCCATAAAAAAGAACAAACTGGAAAATTTTTTCTAAAACTGTGAGTGGTAAACTTGATAAAAAAACATTTCTTGTTGCTCTTTTCTTATTATCCATATTGTTTTCCTATTCAGCTATGATTCCGATGGCACAATATCTGTACCACAGATTGTGTATTATATATATATATATATATATATATATATATATCCTCTGCGACGGCCAGAGTATCAAGAAATTGTTTGCTGAAGGGTTCATAGTATTGCGTGGGCAGAATACTGTCAGGTTGCCCAGGCCTAGACAGGAGAACGATTAGGGTTCTCAGCCAAAGCCTTTGGTTCAAAAACCTTACCGCAAGGCAGCGGGTCTTGGCACTGGACTACAGGGAGCCCGTTTTATGAAATAAGGCGCCACCCACATTCTAAACCCCAAGTTGGAGGGCCAGGAAACTGTTTGTCTGGCCTCTAACCGTTGATCATTCTGATACGAGTGCCTCTGTAGGTGCAAAAATAGCACTACCCAGCATAGCTCAATGGATCTCTGAGGCACGCAAACCATCGCACCACGGTAAAGTCCAGCCTCATCTTGATGGAGCGAATTGATTATAGTGGCAATATATAAGAATGGCTGTTGCACCGGCTGTGATAACCACAGGGGTGTTAGTCAAACGCCAGCTGTGACAAAATTACTGGCCTCGATTCGCGTTCATCGTCTTACTCTGGAACGGGAATCTCTTATTGGTGAAGAGCAGGCAGGTTTCCGCCCAAAGCGTGACTGTATAGACCATATATTCACTTCGCGACAGATGCTAGAGCATCGCCAATCATACCGCAGCACGACAATAGCTGTGTTCCCTGATTTCAAGAGTGCGTTCGTTCAATCGGTCGATGCATTCTGTTCGAAATACTTACGCGGGAAGGTGTTCCCATGAATTATGTGAACGCCCTGCGTGCTCTATACTCGAAAACTACAGACCGCGTTAGAGTCTACGGTGACTTGTCGGATAGCTTTCCGACCACGTGTGTTGTTCGTCAGTGTTGTCTGCTCCGTTTCTGTTCAATTTTGTCGTCCATTCTATCATTGTGTTCCTCCAGCGGATCTCACGATGTAGGTGTTGAGGTCCAGCCTGGTGAAAGGTTAGTTATTCTTGATTATGCGGGCGATATTGTCTTGCTTTTCGACGATGTCGCAGCGGCACAGTCCACCCTGAATAGCCGCTCTAGAGTGGTCCCATTATTTTGTATGTACTTCGCAACTTCAAAATACAAAGAGTTGATGCAGGACCACCAGCCACTTGATGACCTCTTGAAGCTTGCTAACGAGGAACGAGTTAGTCGATCAATTCACTTATCTTGACAGCTGCATCAGCAACGATGGGCACATAGAAACTGATTTCAGCTCACGCATTGCAAAGGGCAAAGCTGCCTTCTTGAACCTGTGGCGTCTTTGGCGACAGAAGGAAGTTTCCCTCCGTCTGAAAAGCCGTGTATACAAGGCCACAGTGAGGGCCGTTATGCTCTAGGGTAGATCTGAGGCGCCTTCAAGTCTTTGGTCATCGTTGTCTGCAGAGCATTGCTGGTGTCGGATTGCACCAGCGTGTCCGCAACGATGATGTGCGTAGGCGAGTACTAGGTGGTGATAATCATGCCAACTCTCTAGAACAACAGATGGCACTGAATAAGTTGCGTTGACTTGGGTACTTGCTACGTATGTGGTCACCACTTACCTAGGAGGGCCTTGTTTAGTCTGCCAAATGTAGGGTGGTGCAAGACTCGAAGTGGACAGAAGTTGACTTGGCAGCGGGAAATGAAGTTACTGACGACCAAACTGGATGCCATCGGTCCGTCTCGTCTTCCAAGTTGGCGTCGACGCCTTGTGCTTGGCTCGAGACTTTACAGGACATGGTTCGCAGTAGACACCAGTGGCGCGTCTGCTGCCGTCTCTTAGTTGGATTGCCTGTTCAAAGTATGTTTGGTGCTGTTATCTGCGGTGTAATGTCTGCTTATGACGCGGGGCAGCGAGGGCCGCAAGGAAGCTGTCTCACCGATGCCGCCTTATTTTTGCATGATAACCAGCTGTTTCTGACGGGACGTTCTCCACACAAGGTGTAGGCGCCTTGACCCTGAATGTTTGCTTAGGTTGTGTTTTGTTCCATTTGACATTAGGGATAACCGATGCAGCCATTCTGGTTACGATACAGCCACTTTCCAAATCAAAAGACAAAAGCCTCTGGCGGAACTTGTATGGAGCACACGGAAGTCAGAATGTACAGCCAAAATATTTTCTCGAAATAAGTTGTTCATGAAAGAAAAGACCTAATTGAATGTCCCTGACTATAACAGCTGCTAGCTGCGCAAAACCCGCTTGTTGGTTGAGCAAGTAGTGTGCTTTCTGGAGGGCTTCAAGGTAAGTCCTTCTGATTGGTTCACCTCAAGGTAAAACGATGCCATTGGCTTACTCCCATTGATTAGGCAATCGGTTACAGGCGGCATACAACCAATCTTCTCCGGGCTGCTCCAGACAGAGAGAGCTAGCTTCGATGACTGCTCTGTACGGGTGGAATAGACGTACTTGCGTCCTGTGCCGCTCTCTTGAAGACATGGGTCGCAACCGGAATCAGTACAAGAATTGTGTACGGCGTTGTAGTGATTCACATTCTGATTCCTCAAACATTGAAACTGCTAAAAAATGGAAAATTGGCGTGTGAAACACAAATTAAAAATGTTTTCTACTGTTTGTCAAAATGTTCCTTTCTTCCTGTGGCATATTAGCTGGAGTGTGTTGCTCACCCTCAACTACTAGCCACAATGATTATGACGCAGTGACTGTCCCTTATCCGCTGATCTCCATGATTTTCTGTTGGCTCAGTGTCTAGTTGATAGACTGCTGAGCTTACTTACTTACTATGGATGGGCTCCGCTAACACCTCCCTCGCGAAAAGTGATGTACGAATTCCTCCTGAGGTCCAGCTGCATTCTGACCATGGACCTCCGTATCCGATCAGTCCATCGTCGTGGCTGAAAGCTCGTTCCTTTTGTGGTCGCAGTTCAAGGTTCATTAGGTGGCTCCTGAGTTCCAGGGTGTATGTCGAAATTATCCAGCAGAATATCCAGTGGCAGCGATCGTTTACTGGTAGCTTTCTAAATGCTGGCAGCTGGTTTGCATGTCTGGTCCAAATCATAGAACTCACTCGAACTTTATACAGCGCTTGTCCGAGTCTGCAGTCGATCAAGCCTGTGGCCCACTGTGGTATTCCAGGGCGATAGTCCCTGAATAAAACACTGTCCTGGGTGAAATATACGTACTAGCGTCCTGTACCGCTGATTGAAGTGATTTCCCATTCGCACGTTCTCTTGCGGAGCGATACGCTTTGGAAGCAGCAAGGAATTCAGAGTATGAACTTTCCTGCCCATAAGCGCTTCTGTTAGGGACAACCTTGGGGTTCGGAGTTGATCCGTACAGTAGAAGGAAAACATCCAATTTCTTTTGGGTAGTTCTTTCCCCCCTCGTCTTCAGCAACGTCCATTTAAAGGTATCAACAAAGCGCTCAGCTTGCCCATTGGACTGCGGGTAGAACGGCGGCTAGCGTAGGTGTGTGATACCGTACTGCGTAATGGCTTACTGTAATGACTTATGAGTCCTAAGGAGGACCTTAACGTTGCAACATCTTTGGGCGGCGGCATCTTGATTACCTCGATGTTCGCTGGATCTGGACGGCTGCCGTTCCTGTCGGCTTTACAAAAAGCCGAGAAACATAATGGAGTCCATGAAGAAGGTACACTTCTCAGGTTGGAGTCTGAATCCATATGCCTCAACATGGCCATGAACTCGATCCAAATTTTCGAAAAGGTCATCAGCACTGCCTTTGACAATAATGATTTCGTCTAGGTATGCGGCTGCTCCATCGACATCTGCCAGCATTGTGCCCATGATCTACTGGAATATGGTTGGCGCAAACTTGACTCCAAACTTGAGACGGTGATACTGGTACAAGCCTCGATGCGTATTGATGATAATTTTCGTGAAGCTTCATGTACTTGGATCTGCAAATATGCATCAGAGAGATCCAGCTTTGCGAAACTTTTATCACTATTCAATTTTGCGAACAAGTCATCTGAGAGTGGTAAAGGGTACTGATGGGCGTTCAGTGCAGCATTTAGACCCGTTCGCCGGGCTGCGCTCTATTCGCTTGGTTAGAATCGAGCTGGAGACGACCGCGTAATGGTCAACCTTTACATGAAGACAGCACATGATATCGCTGACGTCACGTGTAGCCGCCGTTAGACCCATGCGTCTTAGTGCCATCTGCTACAAGTAATTTGTCATTGGAGCATTTGTACAACTCATGTGGCTAATCACGGTGACCATCCAACGTGAGCTTACGAAAACATTCAACCAATTGTGGTTGCTGTGTTTCGCCGGTTTTTGAGGACAGCCTACTCGTTGCATTTTTATGCCTTTATGAAGAGAACATGTAAACCAAACTTGTAGGAATCATTAGTTTTCTGAATAATACGAAACTTCTCCGTCTGTCCTGCTTGATCCCACACATTTGTAGCCAAAAGCGCTTATTCTTGAATACCTATTGGTTCTCAGTCTTATATGACTAACTATCATTTCTCTTGCATTACAGCACTTCGTACCATACAATATTTCCCAAGAAAATCTAGATCCTGAAATACTCACTTAGATCTTTGTACTTCTGCTTATTCAACATCATTATCTTCCCATGCAAGTTTATAGAAACTACATAGTAAAAATCTTTGACTCATGGACTGTTATCAGACTTTCTCGGGAGCAATGTTCTGGTGGAACTCTCACAAATCAGAAGATCAATCTCCTAATCGATAGAATCGCAGATGTTGTACGGAAGCTCAAAGACGAAGATGAAGTGGCTCTATTCATCGAGGATTATTTTGATGATGAACTAAATATTATATGTGAAGATGATTCAATACCTTACGTCGCCAAACTGTTAGTGGATGGAATGGCACTTTTGCAGACAAACAAAGTGGCTGAACTTCAGCGCAAAATTGAGTGTTTACCTAACGGATGTGATTTGGCATTATGTCAAGAAGTGTGTCCTGTTTCATCTTGTGAAACAGACGAGGATGACTGTTCGGACAGCTCGAGTGATGTTGAAATGGAATGATGGTTTCATCTATCTGTCCTTTTCTTCTATTTATGATGGCTTTGTTTTATTCGTGATTCCTGATGCTGTTCAGTTAAGTCAGTGGATTTTATTCCGGGTACCAATGGCTGTGATATCTGTTGTCCTGAACGGCGTCGCTACATGCTTAAGAATAAGTAGGGGCAATTGAGAGGTAAAAGATGCAATAAAACAACTCCAAGAAAGAAATAGTGAATGGGTGTAGTTATTAGAATATTCGATAAACAGGTATACTTGATGGACATAATGAAAGAGTTGTCGGCTTCGCGACAGCGCCAAGTTAGAAGTTGTCCCTAACCACTGACTTGTACCAATCTGTGACGTTATACAAGAAGACTACCGCCGGACTACGTCCTGTAGTCACTTTGTCCATGCCATCCTAGGGACGCAATGCTCCACACGTTTTAACTGAAGACGCGTTGGATTCCCCTCTACTGGTATTCCCTTGCTCGCGGCACTGCTTAAGAACCACTGCACATGGTGCTTATCGGCTGGATCGAGCATGATTCTCCCCGCAGGTTTCCATGATTTTTGGCCTTACTAGTCAGCGTCCCAAGCCAACACTTGAATCGGTTGTACAGATTGAAAAAAGACGGAGAGTGGTCATTGTGGCTGATTCGGAAAATATCGTTCCACGGCCAGTCGACTCAATAGGATGTATAGGAAGTGAAATGATTTCATGTGCATGGGGCAGGAAAAGCGGCTCTCAATAATTGTTAATAAGCTTTCACTTGTAGACATATTCAGTATGGTTTGTTTCTATCCTTCATCAAAATTAGATGGTCAACTTGAGTCCGAGTCTTCCTAAGCTTATTCGCCAGCAATAGAGCTTAAGCTTCAGAAAGCCGTTGAAACGGATGTTACACCGCGGTTCCCTGCAGCTAGAAACTGTCACACATGTGCTCAACTTCATATTTCGGAATGGTGTTGATATCGCTAGATAGCGAGATGCTTTTTAATTGATCATATAGGTTAAACTTTCTAAGTATCAACAGACGAGAGTGACACGCTAACTACTGCAACATCTTAAACTATAGCCATGACTCCAGAAGTCGAGAGACCAAGCATGGTAATCACCATTGGTGCATTCAGAACACATAAGAATTGACCATTGTGTGCTGAGTAAACGTAAGCAGTTAAGCGGCGTTCTCGTAACCTCGTCCTTAGTAAAATCCACGTGGCTGCAGGTCTTGTTCGGTTGGAGAGCAATGCGGGATTGTAAATGGCGACAGCACTTAGCAGCATAACTAGTGTTCGGTTAAGTTCGTGTACTCTCATTTGGCCGCGTATAGGGTTTGTCCGAAAAGTAATGCCAGTGCATTCACTCTGAACTGAATACACGTCGTAGCGCGTTCTGTTTGGTTGGGATCGGTGAAGGACGAGTCAGTTTACGCACATGCAATCGCTCAGTCGTCTGCGACCATCCGCAGAGTAAGGACGGACATTTTCACGAAGTTTTTCCCGCTTCCCGTGCAAGTCGCGACGCAACTCTCCATGGAGCAAAGGAATACCATCAAGTTTTGTGCAGAACTCAGCAAGTCAACAATGGTAACCTTTCCCGTGATAAACGTGATCTTTGATGAGGTTTGCTTATCGGAATGTCAAGTTTACCGGTGGCGCAAGTTTTTTTGAAGGCCTTGAAGAGGTCAGCGCTGGAAGACTATCAACGACAACCGCGGACAAAAATGTGATGCATGTGATCGAATTGTTAAACTCCGAACGTCGTTTGAATGTTTGTTTATTGGCGCAGACATTAAACATTCCAAAAATTACCGTTCACGAGATTATAACGAACAATCTGGTATGAGAAATGTGCGCGTTTCTAGTGCTCAAATCGCGCCGAGTTGAAACGTGCCAGGGAATTTGGGACTTGTGTGGAAGTGACCCCCACCTTTTAGACAATGTCAACGCAGATGATGAGCCTGTAGCAGCCTGAAGATACCCCCGGTTTGTCAGTGTTATGTTGAATGCCGAATAAAAGCACCATCTTACCGTACACTTAGAGGTTGTTTACAGATTGCTGAAATGTATGTTGAATTTGTATGATCCAACACACCCGACATATACAAACGGCGCCACGGTTGTATTAAGCACGTCGCTCATCACGCGGTCTCTCACATCCTTCCCTATCTAGAACGCATCGTTGGTGTCGTATTTTAAGCCAATACATGGGAACAGTGTACATCACAATATACTTTCGTCCCGTCACATTCTTGCCCTCTCTTCAAACGTTGGGAACAGTACTCACCAGTCGTCAGTCGGATACTTCAACTGCGTTAGCGTGAGCCGGCCACTCCTGCTACATTGGTAAGCCCGACGTGACACGAACACGCAACCTTGCGTACGGGTCCGAAACAAAAGACCAAATGCCGAGTGGCACATCTCGGCGTTTCTTTCGCCCCAAGAAGGCCAGAATGAGCAAGTCAGAGATCAAGACAATGCTCATTGTGTTTTTGACATCATTTGGCTCATTCACCTTCAGTTTATGCCACATGGTATCGTTGTCAGCCCCCAATTCTACGTAGAAGTGCTCAGACGAAGGGTTCATCGTGTCCGGTCTGACATTGCGGACGACTGCAAACTTCGTCATGACAGCGCGCCAGCACACACCGCCTTCCTCGTGACCCGCTTCCTGACCGATACATAGGTGTCAACGGTTCCCCGGTCGCCCTACAGTCCTGACTTGTCTCCCTCAGACTTCTTGTTCTGTCACTTGAAAATCCCATGAAGGGACGTCGTTTTGGGATATTTGACAAAGTCAAAGTGGCTTGCACCAAGGTTCTAAAGGACATTCCAGAAACTCTTAGAAAGAGAATCAATAAACTCGGCGCTTTAAGCAAGCAATTGTTTTCGATTAACTCATCCTCTGGCTTATGCATTAATACGCGGTAGGAATATTATATATATATATATATATATATATATATATATATATATATATATATATATATATATATATATATATATATATATATGTATATATATAACATCCGGCAGCCCACAGACGCAGCTGCGTGCAAACCTTTTTCAAACGAGCACAAACCCACTGTAGCACACCGCAGATGAGACGGGCAGAGGAAGATCATCTCTTCAATCTGTTCAAGCGGAACTCGTACCCAAAAGGCTTCATTCTACGCTGCCTCGCATCACAAAAGGTTGCTCGACAAATGTAGCAGCTGAAAAGAGAACAACACTTCCCTATATCAACGGTATCTGAAATGGCAGCGAGGCTTTTATTGACTTTTGGAGTCAAAGTTGCACAACCAACCAACGGAAACCATTCGCAGTAAACTCTTCAATGTGAAAGATAAACTTAGCAAAGAGGAAGAAACTGGTGTGGTTTATAAGATCTGCTGCCGGAACTGCGACAAATACTACGTGGGACAGACTGGGAGGAAGCTGGGCACAAGGCTACACGAACACAGTCTAGCCATACGTCGCCACGATCAGAACTCCCTGATGTCAGTGCATATGGATGCTGAGAACCATCAATTCGACATAGAGCATGCCAGTATTCTCGGAAGGGCTAAAAGCCGACAAGCACTTGAGTTCATTGAAGCCTGGCGTTCAAAGCAGAACTTGATCAATAAGCACTTAGGCATTGAAATCGCTTACGAGGCACTGCGAACCAGGCCTCTGAAACCGCATTGGTGATGTTGCCTAGTCAGGCAACGAAACGTCTGCACAATAATCACTCAGCTCCGAGAACTGCTCAAACTCCGCATATATATATATATATATATATATATATATATATATATATATATATATAATCTATGGTACAGATAATTGTGCCATCAGAGTTATGGCTGAATAGAAAACAGTATGAATAATAAGAAAATAACAACAACCAGCTTTTTAGTTCGGTTTGTAACTCAGTTTCTAAAGCCTTTTCAGTTTGTTTTTTAGGGGAATGAATAAGGGATACCGCAACACACTGAGTCACAAGACTGCCACTGACATCGGTCTTCCAAGGTCTTCAACCAGCAAGTATGCGCATCTCTCGGACCACAACCAGGTAGTCGACAGCAACCGGCCGAGACCAACAGTTTCGCCAGCTTTTTCTTGCGATTTCTCCAAATTGCAAGCTGTCCACCAGACCGTCTCTTCAAGCCCTGTCCAGCAATCGTAAATAATGCACGACGCAGGTGACGCTGAACAGGCATGCGCAATACGTGTCGCAGCCACCGCAGTTGATGTAGTGAGACGACATCCTTGAGCGAGTGGCTTCCTTGTCCTGAGAAACTTTGTCTAACTTTCACATTGCTTACGTGGTGCCGCCACCAAACACGGACCGCAGACAGCGGTGCTCGAAGACGGGATAGCCTGCGCAAGTCATCTTTACGAATAAGCCAGGTCTCGCATCCGTATAGCACGAACAGTTGCACAATAGACCCGCCCTTTGATTGAGAGACGAATGTCGTGGCGACGCCACAGGTGCCTCAGCCTAGAAAAAGTGAGGCGTGCTCTCGATATGCGCATGAAATCTCATCTCCAACAGCCTCGCCAGCAATGATGCAACTTCCCAAGTAGACAAAGCTCTCCACAATCTCCAGTGTCTCACCACCAAGAGTGATTGTAGGCACAGGTACCTGCCAGTCTCGAAAGGGAGCCTTGCATTTGTATGGCAAAATGTACATACCATACTTTGGTGTTTCAATCGCCTAACGGTTTAGTGCAAGTTGAACGGCGTGTAGATCGTCACCCAGCAAGACGATATCATCAGCATAGTCCAAATCAACCACTCGACTACCTGGGAGGAGCTCAACGCTGGCGCTCAAGGGATCTCCCAGAGCGTTCTTTAGGACATCCTCAACGGCAAAGTTGAATAGGAACGGAGAGATAGGGCATCCTTGTCGAACTCCACTGGGGACCACAAAGGAAGGCGAAAGCTTGCCATAAGCTTTAACCTTGCCCGAGGAGAGCGCAGTATGGAGACGAACTTCTCGGGGACGCCATTCATCAGTAGGCAGTGCCACAGTACGGTCCAATCGACAGAATCGAATTGTGCACGGATATCCAGGAACACAGCAATCGTTGGCGTCTGATGCACATGGCGGAGCTCGAGGATCTGGCGGAGTGTGAAGATTTGATCGATGCAGCCGCGACCAGGGCGAAACCCAGCTTGTTCTTCTCGCTGCAACGCTTCGCGCGTTAAGGATAGCC